TCAGAATGCTTAGTTCATTAATTCTTGTAGGCATTGATGGTAGGGCAGTAAATATCTCTTATTTTGCAAAGAGTGGACTGTGGTTAGGTTAACTAGGTTAGGAGTTTGAACTTCAGTGCTTCGTTACAAAAACATTGTCCATTAGACCAAACTTCAGACATACCTATGAGATTCTTTCATAGACCAAAGACAAGTAAATCCAATGTTAGCATTTAGTCCTGTTTGTGCTTTCTTGAGAGTAAGTTCTATTAAACTTCATGGGACTTATTCCTAAATATACAGGCATAGGAGGACTTTGCAAATTCCACAGATCTGGAATGAACTTAATATACTGAATTAATGTTGCTTTATATTGATATTGTGTGAAGACTAGCTTGAAAAGTGTTGCTTGTTATTTACTCCAGTGAAGCATGATTTAAATAGGATTAATTTGAAACAGAATGTGCAGGATGTTGCTTTGTAAGACAGAATTATCTGGAGCATGATACTTCTGAAAATCACATTGGTTCATTGCATCTGAATTATTTATGCACTTATTTCTGTTGTGCTGATTGCATTTTTAAATTTTCCAATACTGGAATAGTGTCTGACGTTGCGATAAAATGTTGAATCCATGGTGCAGGGTCCAGTGACCAGAGATCTTGTGCTTCTTTAGGCAGTCCAAAATGAATGAGAGAGGCTCTTTTCTGGAATGGGGCAGGACAGCAGTGCTTGCATAAGGGAGCTCTACCAATCTGGCCTGTTAGTAGAAGCTCATATTTCTACTCATTTTGGGACTTGCTCCCAAAATCTGTGATATGCAAGTTGTTCTGGCTGCAGGGAAGAAGAGAAGCACTGATAGGCCTTGTACATAAATGACCACATTGGATGCTGCCCAGAATATGCATCAGAATCTACTTGTTTGTAAAATTTGAATAATATTATTTATCATCCAATAAGATCTTCCCATTGTGGCATTTTTTTAAACAAGGCCAATATATCACTACTCATTCCAGCCATTAGAGAGCAGCATTGCATTAACACAAACATGGCATACCTTTGTTCTGTGTAACAAATGCCACTGGAAACATTAGTTACAAATTAAGCTTCTTGTGAAGCAATCTGTGTTGGGATGATACACAAATCTATTTGGAAGTTATTTTTTGCACTCCTTTCTTCTTCTAGCTTATTTTTCCTGTTTCAGTAGGACCTATATCAGGAGAGAATTAAAGTTCTTAAACCGCCAAACTCCAAGCAATTGAGGGCCATAACATTTTGTATTTTGAGACAGATTAAAATTAATGTACTACTTTGGTAAAACTCTAATTTTCGAACTCATAATTCAAGCTGCTATTTTTAGCATCCCATATATTATTAAACTGGCAGACAATTATACATATTCTCAGCATGCTCCCCTGTATAGATCTTCATCTTTATTGACCTGCTAGATGGCAAAGTTCTTCAGAGAAGGAATTTTGGTCATGTTGCAGCACAGATAATAGCTTTCTTTGTACTGGCGCCCACCTTTCCCTTGTTGTTTGTGAGACAGTAGCTGAGTTTGCACAACAGGATGGCCCACCCTGGCAATAAGCCACAGTGTGTTGGTTGTTTTGCAAAATACCCGTGACAGATGATTGGGTTACTTGTGGGTATTTTGTGCCTTCCCCCTCTTCTTTCCCTCATTCCTCCAGTGAATATTTCTGGGTATACTGCAGAAAGAAGCACATTTCCTCTCCCCGATAGCCCCTGGTAGCCATGATTTCAAGCTGATTTTGGCTCACCTTGGTTTCCCCTTTCAATTTTTTTTACCCCTGAGATGGTGTAAACTGGTTGCAGAACTGGAATTTGGGGTCCCTTTCAAACTGTCCTTCAAAATGCCCTATGGCACTTTGGAGGGCCTACCTGTGCCTGCCCACTATTTTTTAATAGTGTGCTTGCAAATGAGTGCAAAAAACCAAAACAAAACAAAAAAAACACCTTTTTCGGTGACCCCGTTGCACAGACAGAGCTTGTTCCTAAAGGCAACTGGGGGCATGTTCTAGCCACAGCCGAGAGCATGTGCAGAGGGAATCCTATTGCCCCCTTGCATCATGTACCCCTCTGTGCATCATCCTATCCAAGGCATCCCTTCCCCTCAACCTGGCTTTCATTGGTTACCTTGTGGAAGAAGAGCTCCCCACTGAAAGCAAAGCCACAAGGGAGCACTGCTGAGAAAGGGACCTGAGCTGTCAAACGCTGTTTTGCTTTAAAAAGTGGGTAGAAGCAGGCTGACCTTTCCTGAACCCACAGAAGACATAACAAAAATCACTCCCTTACAGGAGAAGAAAGGGGAAAAGGTAGAAGGAGAAGGCTCTTTCCAGCTAGGGGATGCTGTTTGAGAAAAGCAACCCCTTCTCACAAACAATTGCTTACACTTTTGCTTTCAGGGGGAGGCCTGCCTTTCATAAGCCAGCCCTTGAAAGCCAAGGTTGAAGGGAGGAGATTGCCAGGTTTGGCTGCAAAGTGTGCAGGGAGGAACTTGCTGCAAGGGGATAGCAGGCACTCCTCTGCATGTTGTTCTGTTTGAGGCTGGAACTTCCCCATATTGTAGTTCAGAGAATGAACCCTGTTTATGCAACAGGGACTACTTGAAAAAAGGGGGGTTGTGCCCATTTGCAGGTGTAAACAAATAAGTTAAACATTCTGGGCAAAGCCCTTTCCAAGTGTTGCAGAACACTTCAAAGGGGCATGTTGATAGGCCTGCTAGTTAAGGAGACTGCAGCTCAGGCTCTCTAGCCAATTTTTGCAATTTCCAAAAAGGGGAAAAAAACCCTGCTTAAAGGGCAAGCCATGATAGCAACCCAAAATTAGGTAGTTATTATGGCAGGACAAGGGAACACTTTCTGCCAGCTGACCCCAAGTCCAGATTGGACACTTTGAGGGTGGTCGGCAATGTCTGTCACCTGACAGCTGTTTGGATAGAGCTGCAAGGCTTTTTTGCCCCTCTTGCTGAGAGCTTGCTGCCTGATGTGTCTCGCCCACAGTGGGTCTTGATGTCTGGGTTTGCACAACTACCGTGGGTGTTAAGAACCCTAAAATAGCTATGGATGATACAGGGTGACTTGTCTTCACTCTTGATGAAGAAGCCCTTTTTAGCATGACACGACAACCCATCTGCAATGACAAACCATGGTGGAGTGTTGTGTCATCAGAACCAGGTCACTGCCTGCTATGTCTGTTTGGTGTTTATTAAAAACTTAGATTTTAAATTGGGTATATTCCAATAGCTAAGCACTGTCACTTGCAGCCTTGGATTTTAATGTTGGATTTGTATTTCTTTTAATGTTCCATTTCTTAATAAAACCACTTCAAGCTCTTGCATAGTAAGCACTCTATAAATATTTTTAAACGAATAAGGAAGCTACAGGACTAAGGAATGTTCAATGAGGCTGACCACCAAGCTCATGCTCCTGGACTTAACAGATGCATAGCCAAGAATCAAGTCCCTTTCCATCAGAGTCCCAGGCAAATTTTCCCCTTCTCTACTTATCCGTTGCCATGTGCAACTTCTGCATTTCCAGAGGCAGTAGCAGCCAGTTCTCCCCCATAGCCACAAACAGGCCGTCAGGTTTTACTATGTAATCCCAGCTCTCTGGAGGCCAGGTCCATCTTAATTCTTCATCTGCATGTTCATCCACATCTGGTTACAATTTTGGATTAGCAGATGTCCTCTCTGGAGAGATGTTCTTCTCGAAGAGGACTCCTGAGCTAGCCCATGGCAGGACAAAAGCCAGCTAACTGATCCATAATAAAGCCCTCAGACATACATGCTGATGAACTTAATGCTGTTTTTATGGGTCACAATAAATCATAGAGAATAAACCCCCTCAGGTATGGGTCCTGAACTTCTCACAAGCAGCCTCTTCAGTCATGGGTGTTTTCAGTTTTGAAGGAACTGCCAGTATTCGTTTTCTCATCATCCACTCTTGAATGTCTTTTAAGGCAAAGCCCCATGTTTATTTTTTCACTGAACTTAGAAGAGTTGGTTCAGTTAAAGTAATATTATATACTCCTGGCTTCAGTATATTGGCATCATATTATAGTACTTTATCCTAGTGAGTGTCCCTCATTATGAAGGCCCAATTAAATGTCAAAGTTGCTCTTAGGGCACACATCCAGTGGCCAGTGGGGCCAAAGGCAAATGGCCAGGGACAAAACACAAACAATCCAGGCCCATTTGAGCTTAAAGCACTTACTACAAGTTACTAAGCTTTGGGAGAGGCATTACAGCCTTTTTAAAATGTGGGGAGGGAAACATGCGCAAGCTAAGAAACCTCTAAATGAACAGGGGAAAGGGACATGGAGCTGAGGAAGGCCCTCTGAAAAAAGGTTGGCTTGGCAGGTCAAGAGGGCTGGATGTGGTCTGTGAGTCTTTTTCCTTACCTTGAAGAAAACATTAAGTAAGGAAAGACAGAGTAGCTACACAATGCCTTCTGATTGCTGCTGCTAGCTAGTATTTAAAATGCTTGTTTTTAGTTGAAATTTCAACTGTATTGGTTTTAATCTCTTGTAAACTGTCTGGAGTCTATGGGAATGAAGTGATATATATAAAATCAAAATACTGCATATAAATAAATACTCCACTGTCTGGAAACATCCAGTGTAAACAGAGGCCTTCAGTTTCTACTTCAACCTTTTTCCTGAAGAACTACCAGATAGAGCTGGCTCATCCTGGGTGCAAAGACAGAATGTCACCAGATGCGGTTTTGAAACTTTTTGGCATACTGTCAGTGACTGCAGCCTCCCTTTCCAAATTCAAGCTAGTTAATTTTATGTGGAAAAAAAAAATCTGTTATCTGTAAAATGCAACCAGCCTGAGACAATATTTGGTAACAAGAGAACCAAAAAAAAAAAAAGCAAAAAGCTTTGTGTGTGA